TGAACAGTCAGGTTATTACCAGCCCCTCCCAATAATCCATCCAATCAATGAGAAACATGCTGGACCCGAGCACCTGGGAGATAGCAAATGGTATGGTAGCAGCTGAGTTGACAGCTGACATTTTGACAAAACCCTTGCCATGAGACATTTTTAAGAAAATCTGCTCGAACATGAATTTAGTAGGTTTGAATTAGGCATCAGCGCTAGTGTCTAATCTATGCCCTATGGTCTTTACTGCGCTAGAGGGAAGGTGTATTGCTTCGACTTTCTTTTGTTAGTTTCTCTCCTACTATGCAGCCATTTTGCCTTTTAGAGCTTTATATGTGTGCCCTGCTCTGACTTCTACATGCTGCTGCTGTGCTAATATAATTCTGTTGAATGTTAACATTGTAGTGATCATAGTGCCAGGAGGAATGTAAGTAGTTAAACAGTTTGATAACTTACCTGGTGGGAACTGGTCATCCCACCAACTCAGAGCTGGAAGGTCCTGCATTGAGCTTACATAAACTTTCCTGAGCTAAACTGGTTGTTGACAGCATCAGCTTATTGCTGTCAGTCAATGAGCTAAGAACTGCACCACACTGCTGAACTTAGCTTAATGCAGAGAGTTTGTGGCTCTCATGGTCAAAGTAATTGGTACTTGGTTGGCTCCAGATAAGTTATGAAACCATTATCAAACTTTTACTACTTACAGCGACAGGGCACCACAACATTCCTAGAACCATAGAAATATAGAAGCATTGAATGTGACGGCAGATAAAAACCATTTGGCCCATCTAGTCTGCCCAATTTTTTAAATACTTTTAATTAGTCCCTTGCCTTATCTTAAGTCTAGGATAGCTTTATGCCTATCCCACGCATGTTTAAACTCCTTCGCTGTGTTAACCTCTACCACTTCAGCTGGAAGGCTATTCCATGCATCCACTACCCTCTCACTGTTTTGGTAATGGTGCTTGAATGTCCCTGTATTATTAACAAAATTATAAAGCCAGCTGTTAGTCAGAAATAATACAACCTAAACAAATTTAAAAGTGAGAAATATATTTTGTAAAAAGTCATAAAAACTGAAAATAAAGTCCATTATAATGCCTTTGAATAGAATGTGAAAGTGTTTGCATTTTCCATTCCATTGATTGTTGTCATTATTCTAGCTCTCAATACTTTTAAAGTTAATCTCAGATACTTGATAAAAGTAATAAAACATGTACTCTGGAATTCAAAAGACATTATACAACTAATTAATGGCTTTAAAATTAAAGCCATAAATTTAGTTGTGCTATTTTTGTTACTATGATTAATTACCTGGCACTTTAGTTCTACCTATTCATGTTATATACCAAGTATGAGTTGGACAGTTTATAATATTTGTGAAATATTTTTACATTTCTAATTTTGCATAGGAAATACAGATATATGTGCAATACTACAGCGATTAAACATTAAAAGAGTAAAATTTACAAAATAGTAAAATTATGTATGTAAAGTGATGCATTTAGCCAACTTGAATTATAATAAATATATTTTATTGTTGATGCCTTTTCTATCAAAACATTGTCAACATTTGGCAACCAAAATATTGCATAATTTGAAGATTTTCTCATTGTTGGGGCTGCAAGAGACACAAGATACCCCCAGATTTTATTAATAGAACCCCCACCCACAGACCAGGGGTAGGAGTGTAGAGGCTGAAGATAAACATAGTTCCTTTTTTCATTTTAATTACTGCCCTCACTATGTTCTTCCTCAATTATGAACTGAGAGCCTCACAGCATGATGCCTCCCACCGCTTTATGTTGTTTAATATTAGACCCACGGTGATCTGTCCACCCCCATTGTTTTGATGCATGCAAGTGTTTGCATTCCTGACACTATAGTGTTCTTTTAAGAATACAAATGCACCTGACTATTACAAATATCAGCTAATTTTATCTCTCGCCGCCCCACCAATGGCGGGTAGGGGCTCTAATATTGATAAGGACTGGCCTTGTGTCAACCCAAGTTCTCGCCAGTAGGCAGTGGGTAAGTGCTGTATTTATAAAGCAAGGAGGGCTAGTACCTCATCAGCCACCACCCAGGAGCAGTGGGTGAGGGCTCTAACTAAATTTACTATGGGGGGTTGGGGGGTGGGGTTCCATTATCCACTCCTTTAAACATTTTGCATAAGTGTCCCCCATAGGTGGACAATAATAATTATAGTGAGGAGGACCAATAAAACTAATGTAACCTGCAAAATAAATAAAAAATCATATTTACCTTTATATGTCTTCTTTCTTCTAAATTTTACACAAAAGTGAAATAGTGAATACAATAACAATAACGCAATACAGCTTTTGTAAGCCAACATATCAGAGTGCACAGACTGAGGCTGCATTGCGTGGGAAAGCCTGAATAAGAGAGGGTTTTTTTTGGCTTTGTAAGCTTACTCACTCTGAGCTAAGCCCTCTGGGGAGAAGATTGCTCTATTTTTGTATTGCATCTTGGTTTTAATTACTTTAGTCATTTGTTTATTGTGATCGATTTTTTATTTTCAAAAGTGTGTTGTGTTATTGTGAATTTTATTTTTACCCTTTTGAGTCTGAAGAAAAGAAGATTTAGAAGAAAGATGACATCTGATGGTAAGTATAATTTTTGTTCTTTACAGTTATTAGTTTTATTAACCCTTCATTATTATTAGAGTGAGAAGGGATAGGTAGGGTATTGCTTTTATTTAAATTGGGGTGGCTAGGGGCTTGAGGACACTTATGGACAATTTTGGGGAGATGGGTACTATCTCCTCCCGCCCTTGAATTCTTTTAGAGCCTCTCCCTGCTACAGATGGTGGGGGCTGTGGGTTAAGCTAGATCCCTCCCACTGGCGACAGATGGAGGTAGACAGTAATCTGTCCACCACTCATTATTTAAAGTCACCCACATGATGCCAATGGGTTGTTCCACAGGGGGGACCAGGTCTCCCCATGAGATGGAGCCTCTCTAGCAAATGGGCAAGATTGGCTGCCCAGTAACAAGCTTTGTTTGTTTAGTAGATACACCCCCACCTACTACATGGCAGGTGGGGACATAAAGGAGGTCTACAACCTCCCTTATAGTAATTTGAAGGTAAAAATTATAGTTGGTTTAGAGTCAGACAAGCTGGGAAGACATTTCACTGTGCTCCCATCGTATGCTCTGTCTTTGGCTCCAATCCCAGGGGGTTGTCTGTTATCCTCAACCATTAGACTGCATCAATGAGCTCCAACTACATGTCCATGATGTGCATTTATTCCTTATTAAGTTATGTATATATATATATATTTCCTGGCCATATCCATGGCAGCACAACACTATTTTAGCTCCTCCCAATCCCATTTAGACAGGAACCTAATTAAAACAAGGGTATAAGTACCCCTACTCATCCAGGCCTCAGTATTTTTGTTCTTATTCTATCTCCAATAGGACAGGAGTTTTTTCTTTTCTGCTTACCTATTGTTGCCCCTTGCCCTAAGCGAGTTCAGCCTCTCTTCCATAGGAAGCTACAGGACACGGGCCTATGCAAACATGTCCCTGCTGAAGGAACTTCTTTAGTGATCCGGGATAAGTTCCATTGACCCTAGGGGTAGCAAGTATAAAATACCCTTTTTGTCTTGATTTTAGTTTACCTATTTTCAGAGACTCCATGGTGCTCAAATCGTGCCTGGGAGGGCAATCTGCCCAGCTTTTTCCAGCATTTTGCAGTATTTTCATGGCAATTTCGTAGCAATTTATCCGAATTGTTGCCGATATTTTTTCTCAAAATATTATTGCCAAATTTTTTGCTGACATTTTGCTGCATTTCAAGGTTTAATAACATCTCATTCATTCCATCAGGAATTCTGCATTTTGCCACGCTACTGCACATGCTCTGACTGAACTGCAAGTGCAGTATATAGGTAGAAAAAAAAAATTATATTTTACTCTTTTCTGCATATATCCTGATGTTTTTTCATATGGATCGCTTTTTATTTAACAGGAATTGCACATATGATTCAGATTCCCTTCTTCTGAGAAAAGGTCACACTCTAAGAGTAATAAATAAGGAATATATTATTTTATTCTTTTTTTTCTTTATTCTTTATTGAAAGGTTCAAATATAGAACAAAATTACAAAACACAACATCAATGCAATAGACATAATTCTTATAAATCCATAGTCGCATATTACTTGTTATGTTTGTAATATTTTTTTTTAATTGCTTATAATAGTAGATGGAGTTTATGGACGATGTTCATCTAAACCTTAAGATTGTACATTTATATTAAAAACAAAACACAAACCAAATCACAAGACAAAACAAAAACATAAAATACTTGCTGTAAGGTGCCAAAGAGAGAGGGAAGATACAATTTATTTCAGACTGAAATGTAAGTTTGCGTCCAGGTTTTCAAAAATATTTAGGATCCTTCCTGGGAGTTTATGTGGCACTATTATAGTTGATATTAAGACAAATAAGTTGATGAGGCTTGATGGGGTACACCCAAAGTTATTAAAAAAAATGTAGTGGTGTACTAGCAAAATCAACGGATCTATTAAACCAATCTTTGTTAACTGAATTAGTCCCAGAAGATTGGAAATTAGTGAATGTTGTGCCAATTCATAAGAAAGGTAGTAGGGAGGAGATGGGTAACTATAGGCCAGTAAGCCTTACTTCAGTAGTGGGGAAAGTGATGGAAACCATGTTAAAGGATAGCATTGTAAAACATCTAAACTCATGTGGATTTCAAGATCAGAGACAACATGGGTTTCCTTCAGGGAAATCATGCCAAACTAATCTTATTGATTTTTTTTGGGTAACTAAAATAATAGTTCAGGGTGGTGCAGTAGACATTTCTTACCTAGATTTCAGTAAGGCTTTTGACATTGTTGCACATAAAAGGCTCATCAATAAACTACAATCTTTAAGTTTGGATTCCAATATTGTTGAATGGGTTAGGCAGTGACTGAGTGACAGGCAACAGAGGGTTGTAGTTAATGGAATATATTCGAAGCTTGGACTTGTCACCAGTGGGGTACCTCAGGGATCTGTTCTTGGACCCATTCTCTTTAATACCTTTATTACTGATACTGCAGAAGGTCTTGATGGTAAAATATGTATTTTTGCTGATGATACAACAGGGTTGATGTTCCGGGAGGCACAAGCCAAATGGCAAATGATTTAGGTAAACTAGAAAAAAGGTCAGAGCTGTGGCACATTTAAAGTGGATAATTGCAAGATAATGCATGTTGGGCATACAAATCCAAGTACAGAGTATAGAATAATTGATACAGTACTAACTTCAACATCTGAGGAAAGAGATTTAGGAGTAATTATTTCAGATGACTTAAAAGGTAGGCAGGTAATGTAATAGAGCAGCAGATAATGCCAGCAGAAGGCTTGGTTGTATAGTGAGAGGTATTAGCTTTAGAAAGAGGGAAGTGCCCATGCCATTGTACAGAACACTAGTGAGACCTCACTTGGAGTATTTTGTATGCAGTACCGGAGACCGTATCTCCAGAAGGATATTGATACTTTGGAGAGAGTTCAGAGAAGGGCTACTTAACTAATTCATGGATTGCACAATAAAACTTACCAGGAAAGGTTAAATGATCTTAACATGAATAACTTGGAGGAAATACAAGACAGGGGGGATATGATAGAAACATTTAAATACATAAAGGGAATCAACATAGTAAAGGAGGAAAGTTTATTTAAAAGAAGAAAAACTACCACAACAAGAGGAAATCTTAAATTAAGTTTTAAATTAGCAGAGCAAAGGTTTAAAAATATCAGGACGTATGTGTCTGTCAGTCAAAATGTGTGTAAGTTAACAGGAAGAGGTGTGGCCTTGGTAGGAAGGGGCGGTTAATTTAAATTAGGGGGTGCCCGAGACCTGTCATGCCTAGGCCAGCACCATTTTAAAATACACCACGAGGCTCGAGGCACTCTGTAAATGTTAAAAAAAAATGAAGTAAAAAAAATTAATGGAATAAAAAATAACCCCTACCTTCCCTCCCTGTCCCATGTACTTACCGATCGCTGTTCCCAGCGTATATATAACATCAAAATATGTGTATTTTTTTTATTAATATATACATATAATACCCTTAGAGTAAAATCACACACATGTGTATATATATATATATATATATATATATAAAATTATATTTTATATATATTTTATAAAAAATAAATAAAAAACAAGCTAAAAATTATTTTACAAAAAATGATATATATATATGTGTGTAATTTTATTCTAATTGTGTTTTGATAATATATATATATATATATATATATATATTATATATCAAATATACACTTTATTATATAATGAAATGATATAATGAAATTATATATACATATATATATACACACACACACACACACACACACACACACACACACACACACACACATATATACACACATATATATCTATGTATATGCCCTTAATGACCGTGGATGTACTACGTACGTCCGACAATAAAACGGTCGTTAAGGACCGCGGATGTACCCAGCACGACTGCGGCAAATAGTAGCCCTGGACTTACCTGGACCAGCAATCCACGGTGATCACGGTCAGGGGGGACTGCCGGTGACACCAGCAGTCCCCCTGCAGCAGCTCTGGCCACCCCGGCCCTCCAGGGCCATTTGATCACCATGATCACATTGCCGCAATAGGAGTCTAGGAGCTGCCAGCAGGGGGGACTGTCTGAGCTGTCAGACGGTCCCCCAGGCTGCTAAAAAGTAAAAAAAAAAAAAAAATATATATATATATATATATATATATATATATATATATATATATATATACACACACACACACACACACACACAATAAACAATACACAAGATCCAGCGCACTCTCCTATCTACTAAACAGCAACTTCAATGTTGACAGATTTTATTAGTTTTTCTTTTTTAAGTTTTTTCTAAAGGTTTATTTTTTTTTTTTTTTAAACACCTAATCTAAGCAAAAAATAATGGGGATTTAGTTACATTATATGATCATATATTGCATAAGCCTGCCATCAGGGCCGGACTGGGGATAAAAAGCAGCCCTGGAAAAAAAATGTGTGCCAGCCCCATAAGTCACTGCGCCATATATTGTCGCGTGTAATATGTAAGGCTATGTCTTGCCATGACAGATGATTGAGTAATATTTATTTATATATATATATATATATATATATATATATATATATATATATATAAAACAGGAGGGGGTTGGCAGCACTCACCTTAACATGCATAAATGGGGGTGCTGCTGGGGGCCAAATAATACAATACACAAGATCCAGCGCACTCACCTATCCACTAAACAGCAACTTCAATGTTGAAAGGGCCCTATTTAGCCTTGTACTGCAGAGAGCCCCAGATGGAATTTCTTTCCCCAAGTAGGTTAATCTCATAAGAGCAGACATTAGGCTGTTAGTGTAGGACCTGCCAAAGATGGGGTACATTGACGTTGTGGCAGGCTTATGCAATGTATGATCATATAATGTAACTAAACCCCCATTATTTTTGCCTAGATTAGGTGTTTTTAAAAAAAACAAAATCTTTCAACATTGAAGTTGCTGTTTAGTGGATAGGTGAGTGCGCTGGATCTTGTGTATTGTATTATTTGGCCCCCAGCAGCACCCCCATTTATGCATGTTAAGGTGAGTGCAGCCAACCCCCTCTTGTTTTATATATATTTGGGAGTCTAGCCAACTCCTTGGTTTTGCACCCCTCCCTGTCACAGGTGCCTCATCCCAGGGCCCTATTTAGCCTTGTACTGCAGAGAGCCCCAGATGGAATTTCTTTCCCCAAGTAGGTTAATCTCATAGGAGCAGACATTAGGCTGTTAGTGTAGGACCTGCCAAAGATGGGGTACATTGACGTTGTGGCAGGCTTATGCACTGTATGATCATATAATGTAACTAAACCCTCATTATTTTTGCCTAGATTAGGTGTTTTTAAAAAAACAAATAAAATCTTTCAACATTGAAGTTGCTGTTTAGTGGATAGGTGAGTGCGCTGGATCTTGTGTATTATATATATATATATATATATATATATATATATATATATATATATATATATATATTGCTTTTTCTAATGTAAAATATTGGTCTTTTCAGGGTAAAACGTTTAATTATACAGTAAGCATACTGATGCAGACACAGGCAATTTCACTGACATCTCAATGACACACACAAGCTCATTGATACACAGCCTCATAGACAAACAATCTCACTGATATACATCAGCTCATTGACATAAAACACAAGCTCACTCAATAGCAGGCACACGCATGCAAGCAAGCTCACTCACTAGCAGACGCACACACACAGCTTAATGTAGTGGTACTGGTGTCTATAGCATGTCCCTACAGGCTTTTCAACGTAAACTCTGACTTTTCAGAGTAAAGGCAGTGTTTACATTGCTTCAAAGTGACACTGCTAGTTACAGTCACTCAGACGGTCACTAGAGTTGCTTCCTGTTTTAGTGCACCTACATTCAGGGCCTCCACACTCTGTAGGTGCTGAACGTTCCCCATAGAGATACATTGATTCAATGCATCTCTATGAGGAGATGCTGGTTGGAGTGGTGTTTTGCAGTCAATCCTATGGCAAAGCATTGGATTGGCTGAGATCATCAAGCTTGATGATCTCAGCTATAGAGGCAGGGCCAGTCTAGGGGAGACCAGCACGCTGCGTGGGGAAAAAAAAGGTGAGCAAAAACACTATTTTTAAACACACATATACCATGACAGACACACACACACACCCCATGACGGACAGACACACACACACACCATGACACAGACAGACACACACCATACAGACAGACACCATGACACACACACACACACCATACAGACAGACACCATGACACACACACACACCATACAGACAGACACCATGACACACACACACACCATACAGACAGACACCATGACACACACACACACCATACAGACACCATGACACAGACAGACACACACCATACAGACAGACACCATGACACACACACACACACCATACAGACAGACACACACCATACAGACACCATGACACAGACAGACAGACACACACCATACAGACACCATGACACAGACAGACAGACACACACACCATAACAGACAGACAAACTCACACTGACACATTACTAATACCTGCCAGGGGGAGGTCTTGTGGAGGCCACTGGGGGACTTGTACTGGAGGCTGCTCGGGAGGTCTTCTGGCGGCCGCTGGGGTACCTGTACTGGAAGCCGCTGGGGAGGTCTTCTGGCGGCCGCTGGGGGACTTGTATTGACGGCCGCTGGGGGAGCTATGCTTGCTCTGCTCTCCCGCCCTCACGCGCTGGTGAATGAGACCGGCGCCGGAATATGACGTCATATTCCGGCGCCGGTCTCATTCAGCTGCACGCTGGGGAGCAGAGCCAGCGCAGCTCCCCCAGCGGTCGCCAGTACAAGTCCCCCAGCGGCCGCCAGAAGACCTCCCCAGTGGCCGCCAGCAGACCCAGGTGTCTGCCCGGCCCCAGGTGCCGACGGCCCACCGGGAAATTTCCCGGTATCCCGGTGGGCCAGTCCGGCCCTGCCTGCCACAACATCAATGCACCCCATCTTTGGCAGGTCCTACTCTCACAGTCTAATGTCTACTCTAATGTCTATGTGAATAACTCACTTACTTGGGGAAAAAACTCCATCTGAGGCTCTCTGCAGTACAAGGCTAAATAGGGACCTGAGATGAGGCACCTGTAACAGGGAGGGGTGCAAAACCAAGGAGTTGGCTAGACTCCCAAATATATATATGAAACATGGGGGGGGGTGGTTGCACTCACCTGAACATGCTTAAATGGGGTGCTGCTGGGGACATAATTAAACAATAAACAATACAAAAGATTCAGCGCACTCTCCTATCTACTAAACAGCAACTTCAATCTTGACAGATTTTATTAGTTTTTTTAAAAGTTTTTTCTAAAGGTAAAGAACTTACACCTAGAACTGCAATCACTCATACCAAGTAGTCCCTGCATGGGCACTTTCTATATACTTCCCAAAGTCCACAAATCAGGTAATCCTGGAAGACCCATAATTACAGGAATGGGAACTCTCACAGAACAGATCTCAGGACTGGTAGAAAATACCCTAAAACCTCTAGTCACCAACACTAACAGCTTCATAAAAGACACAACCGACTTCCTCAACAAACTCAGCCAAATCACCAATGTCCCTTCTAACACCATCCTTGTAACCATGGATGTGGAATCTCTATACAACAACATTCCACATACAGA